AGTGCCAGGGATTGACCAGCGTTGGCCACAAACAAGGCAGGTGCTCCCCACCCACACGATCTCTCCTGCCCTCATGCCATTACTAACGTTTCCTTGGTAGGCTTCTGGGGCCATCCTGCCTGAGCCCCAAGCCTCCGGTTGTGAGCCCTGACAGGTGCCCGGCCTCCGTCTCCAGCCCACTGGGGAGAGGGGATGTGCTTCTGCCAAAGGCCCCTTGAATTCGGGTTCCCCCAGTCTGCCTACTTTGCCCCCACCCGCCAAGCCAAACGGAAGTCACATCTCAGCTGCCCTCCTGAGGAAGTCAGGGCATGCTCCCAGTCAGCTGACCTCAGTACTGTGGGCTGTGCTGGGGCATGCACTCTGTTGAGGGTGCATAGGCTCTGTGACATGGGCTCTGTGACGTGTATGATGCGAGCGTGTCAGACCTCCCTCGGGCTCAGCCCATCCTGGGATTGCTTTCGTGACTCTGAGCTGCCAAGTCGGCTTCCGCCCCATCAGGGTCCGCCCCGCCCACTGCAAGCATATGCCCCGCCTCCATCAGGGTTCGCCCCGCCCAGTGTGAGCATATGCCCCGCCCCATCAGGGTCCGCCCCGCCCAGTGATCATTTGCCCCGCCCCATCAGGGTCCGCCCCGCCCAGTGATCATTTGCCCCGCCCCATCAGGGTTCGCCCCGCCCAGTGCGAGTGGGGGGGGAGGGGATTTGGGGGGCGTGGGCCTGTCCTCTATTCCTCGGATGTGAGAGGCATATAAAAGTAACCTGAGGTGCCTTTGCAAGTTATTAAGGGACTTTCCAAAGTGTGCCATTTTCAACTTTTGGTCAAATTCGTTTTATCCCTTCAAAACACTTTTTTTGCAAGAGTTTTTCTGCCTTTTCTAAGTATTCTTTGCTCATTCCAAAGCCTAAAAATATCCACATATGTTCTAGGAGCCTTTGGCTTGAGCTTTTGTTGGGGTCTGGCCTGCTCCCGGCGAGGCTGGGCGCCCTGTGTGAAGATACAGGTCTGTTTGATCCTATGCCACTATTCCATACTGGCTCTGGTCGCCCAGGACCTGCGTTTCCTGTTGGACTGGCACCCCGTGGATGCTGGTGAGCAGACAGGGCACTGTCTCCGCTCCAGCTGCCAGCGAGACTGTGCGCTCTAGTGAGGTCACTAAAGCTGGATGTGAAACCAGCCCCCAGACAAGGGGCGAGGTGCACCCTGCCTCACTGGGGTCCTGCCAACCCACAGCTGCCTTCACTCCACCTGTGCTGGGGTTTGGGGGTTTCCTTGCCTAAGTGGTTACATCTTCTGTTACTTTTGTTCCTAAGTATTTGACTTTTGTTTTTGTTAGTGAAACAATGTAAGTCTCATTTTGCAGAGCCAGACACTTAGAGACACAGTGGCCCTTTGAAGCCTGCTCTCAACCCACCTTCTGAACTCACTGGCAGCCAAAGTTTCTGCAGCTCCTTAGAAGCCCCTGGGTAGCTGACCTGGGCCCAGAGAGAAAAGGCGGCTGTGCTTCTCCCCTTCCGGTCCACACAGCCTAGTTCCCCAGGTCCTTACATTGCACAGGTCAGCCTGGAAGGTGAGAGGGGACACCTTGCCTGTCGTGAGACAGCCTGTCAGCTCCTGTAACACATGGACATCCTTTGTGATGTGTCTGGTGAACTTTGAGAGTGTTCCCTTCACGTGTGTGTGTGTGGGGGGGCTTTACTAAAAGGGGATGTTGAATTCTGTCCTGTGTCTTCCCTGGTCCCCTCCGGCCGGCCGAGCACTCCCTCCCTCACCTGCCGACGTGACAGATCACAGTACTGTGTTGTTAATCCGTCTTGTGTCCTTTGGTCAGAGCCCAGATAGACATGACACGTCACTGCTTTTACAGCCTGATTGCCCAGGACTTCTCTCTGATAGACACCAGGGATATCAGATCCTACATATCTGTTCGTATATCATGTCTTTATCTAATGTTGGTATCAGGGCAAAAGACAGTGTGATAACATGCTTTGGGAAATGTTCCAGATGTCTGGAAGAGCAAGTGAAGAACTAGCCTGACTTTTCACTCCCCGTGGGCTGTGCAGTGTGCTCTGTGGGAAGGAGTGGCCTGATGGAGCCACTGTCCGGAGAACTACACGGCCACTCAGGCCACTTCTTCCTGTGAGACCTCAACCGGGTCTGCCCTTGACTTCCAGGAGTGCGCCGTTCCCCTCATTGTGGGTTCTGTGGCCTGAAGTGGTGCTCTTGTCTCAGTGCTGATGTCTCTTCCTCATGGCCCTTTATCAGTCTTGCTACTGGATTAAGGACCATAGTGAATGGGCCAGAGAGTCTAACAGGGCGCTTGTCTTGTATGTGGCTGACCTGGGTTTGATTCCAGCATCCAATATGGTCCCTGAGCCCCACCAGGGGTAATCCCGGAGTGCAGAGCCAGGAAGAGTTCTGTACACCACTGGGTGTGCTCAAGAACCAAAATTAAAAGAAAGAGGGAGAGAGAAAGACAGGGGAGGAAGAAAGAATAGAATAAGGTGCTTCCCACAGGCACTGGAGGCAGCTCAGCTCACAGGAGGACACAGAGCGGAGGGTATCACAGGAAGTAAAGCCCTGGGGACCATCAGTGCTCCACAGTGAGAAGCGCCGTCAGTGCTTCAGAGGTACGGATGCTGGGCGTTTAGGAAGGAGCCCCGCCCCCAGCACCCGGAGGGCTGAGTGGGGCAGGAGGCCAAGCAGGGCTGAGTGTGACCCAACAGAACTCCTCTCGGCTTGCTGGGGACATGGGCAGGGCCATACCTGCGGGGGTGCTCCATGCATGCCCCCGGCTCCCACGCGATCAGTGGGGAGTGTGTGGACACAGTAGTGGACGTGGTGTCGCCCGGCCCCTGTCTGTCCTGTGGCTCCAGTGTCAGTCTCTGCTCTGCACAGCACCAACCCTTTAGCCCGCGGTGTTGGGCAGCGTCCACCAGCTAAGGCGTCAGTGAGCATGTGCAGGAGAAAGCGAGTAACTGATGGGCAGAGGGTTGCACAGCTGGGGATGCGGGAGATGGATGGATGGATGGATGACAGGTGGGAGCATGGCGGGATGGATGGATGAAGGACTGATGGGTGGGGTAAGGACTGGTGATGGTGGGGGCCGGGCAGGATGGGCGGAAGGGCAGGTGCTGGCGGAAGGACTGATGATGGGGAGGACAGAGCAGGTGATGGAGGGGGAAGGGCAGGTGATGGATAGACAAAGGGGGGTGGATGGTGTTTCAGCCTACAAGTTCTTCTTGGACTTGAGCCAGCCTTGGCTCTATCCAGCCCAGTACCTCTGACCATGTGAAGTTCGTAGCTTTGCCATCATGAAGCCTGGGCCTTCTTACCTACGGAACTGAGGCTCGGGGATGGCAGAACCACGGTCGTGAGACAGTGCCCCCAGGGTGCCTGTTGGGACAGCAGCCACACCACCCCTTCTCCAGATGAATTTGGGGTCACGGAATAACTGCCCGTTAACTCCTGTCCTCAGAGCTGCAGGTGCCAGGCTCCAGCCCTTCAGGGCTGAGCTGGGTTTATTTCCTACACAACCAGCCCTACTTCCTGCCAGCAGTGAACTGAGTTTCCATGTGATGCAGCGAGGCCAGCCCCGGGGGGGGGGGGGGGGCAGGCACTCCGGAGCCTGATGGTAAGGCACAGGTGGAGGCACCACCGCAGGCATGGGCTGAGCTCGTCTATGGTGACACGGTTACCCTGGAGACAGAGTGAAGATTCGTGGTCCCAGCCAGAGCCACTGATGGCCACGGAGGATGAGCTGGCTGAACAGCAAGTGGGTCTGCTGTGGGCAGCTTTCCCCGTAAAACCCTACTGTGAGCGGGCAGGATGGCTGAAGGGGCAAAGCGAGTGGGTGGGAGGTGGCACTTGGGAGACCCTGCTCTCCTGTTCCACAAGCGTTTCCACTGGAGAAGGGCTTGTGAGCGGCGTGGAGGTGACTGCTAGGAGCCCCGTGTGAACCGCTTGGCTTTTATGCGAGATGTTGACGTCATCACCTGGTGACCGTTGGGAAACACACAGCTTGTGCAAGCCCATGGTGGATGTTCTGAGGCGGGGACCGTGGGAGGAGATTCATGGCAGGCTGTGGACTTTCCCCCGAGTCAGTGCTCACTGGGCAGGGCACACTCCTGCCTGGCAGGGAGGTCGCTCATGCTGCCCACGCATGCCCAGGGTGGGATCCAGATGGAGACTGAACCAGGCCAGGGTGGGAACACAGGACAGCATTCCCAAGGTTCAGGGTGGTGAGGAAGCTCCCATGTATGCATACGTCGGTGAGCGAAAACCGTGTTGGTCAGGATGTGAATGTGAGAGGGGAGGTCACGGCAGTTCCTAGGAAGCTGGTTGGAGGTTTGAGCCCTGCACTGGGCACCTTGGGGTCTCTGTGGCTGGGTGGCCGTGCAGCAGTTGCTTCCCACCCTCCCTGGGGGTTGTGGGCTGCCTCACGGGATCTCCTGTGGAGGGTCTGGAGCAGGGTCACGCCCACGGCCTCCAGCCAACTGTCTCTTTGCAGGACGCGGTCCATAGAGCACACGGGGGACTCTTGGAACATAAAGAGGCCCTCTGGCCACAGCATCAATGGCTGGGGCACTAACTCATGGGCCGAAGAACATTCTGCAAGTAGGGTCTCTGGGAGTGACCCCATATGCTGCACGGTCCCCCCCCCCCACACACACCTGGGGGGCCCAAAGAGCAAGCCAGCAAATACTGCTCCAATAAAAGGGAAAGCAGGGCAGGAAGTGCTCCCAGGGGTTCCCAGGCTCCCGGTTCCCCACACCGAGGCGATGCCTGGTGCCAGCCTACACCTCGGGCCTTGGCTCTTCCTGATCCCCGCCCCCCTTCCCTTCTGTTTCTCTGTGGTGCTCACAGGGGCACGCCGCTAGCTGTCACACATCCAGCAGGTAGTAGCACCTCGGGGAAGAAGCACTGGGTGCAAGTGGTGGATGCACTGGGGCGACAGCTCCAGACTTTGCCACTGAGCCCTGCCCCCCCCCCCCCCCCCGCAGGGCATTTTACGGATCTGAAGGCTGGCGCGGCCGGCCCGGGGCGGGGGCAGGGCCTGGGCGGCACCTGGCCCGCAGGAAGGTGACAGCGGAGATGCGATGCCCCGGCCCGCCCAAGGCCCAGCGCGCGGCGTGGCCGGAGGCGCGGGTGCGATGCGGGTCCGGGGTTCTCCCAGGGGGCGTCTGGCCCGCGGCGCTCCCGGCTGCGCAGCGTCACAGGCAGACGGGCCGCGTGGCCTTCCAACGGCCAGGCGTCTGTCCACCTGTCCACCTGTCCACCTGTGCGGTGCTGCCTCACGCAGGGCTTGGACCCGGCCCCTTGAGTCCTGGCTCTGCTCCCGGCCCTGCCCCGCTCCACTCCCACCTCCGCAGCCAGGGTTCGAACCGGGCCGTGCAGAAGAGCCGGGTCACGGCGGGGCCCCAGGGAGAGGGGCAGCCCGGGAAAAGCCTGTGGCTCCTTTAAGGGGCGCCTGCGGGGCCGCCGGTGACGTCACGGGCGCGCGCGGGCGGAGTCGGCGAGTCGCTCTCCGGGCGGGGCCGGAGCGGACCCGGGAGCCCGAGAGGCCGGCTGGCTCCGCCCACCGCCCGCGCAGGCGCACAGGCCCCGCCTCGCTGGGCGCCCGCGGCCTCCGGGCCGGGCCCGCCGCGCAGGCCCCGCCCCCCGGGCCGCTCGGCCCCGCCCCGCCGGCAGGCGAGCCGCTAGACGGGGGCTGCGGGGGCGGGGCCCGTGGGGGGCGGGGCCGGGGCGGGGCCTCGGGGCGGGCGCTCCCCGGGCTGGCCCGCGTCGGGGGCGGGGCGCGGGCGGGGCGGGGCCGCGGCGGGCCGGCCAATCGGCGGCCGCCGGCCCGGGGGCGGGGCACGGGCGGGGCGGGGCCGCGGCGGGCCGGCCAATCGGCGGCCGCCGGCCGGGGGCGGGGCGCGGGCGGGGCGGGGCCTCGGGCGGGCGCGCTCCCGGCGGGGCGGGGCGCGGGCGGGGCGCGGCGGGCGGGGCGGCGGGGCGGGCGCTCTCCCGGGCGGGGCGTGCGGGCTCGGCGGCTGCGGGAACTTTCCGGCGCTCCTAATGGCTGCGCGCGGGCCGCGGTGAGGCGCGGGCGGCCGGCGGCGGCGGCGGCGGCGGCGGCGGCGAGGCGAGAGCGAGGAGCGCGGAGCGCGCGCGGCCGGAGCCCCGGCCAGGCCCGGCCCGACCGCGGCCCGCGATGCGCCCCGGGGCCGCCCCCCGGCGCCGCTGACGCGCGGCCGCGCACTCCGGCCCGATGGCGGGGAAGGGGAAGGCGGCGCCCGCGGGCCCCGCGCTGCTGCTGGTCACGGCCAACGTGGGCTCGCTGTTCGACGACGTAAGTGCCGCCCGGCCGCCAACTTCGGGCGCGCGCGGCCCCGCGCGGCTCCGGGCTCCGCGCAGGCCACGGCGGCGGCGGCGGGGGCGGCTCGGCTCGGCTCGGCCCGACCCCCGTGGCCCCCGGCCCGGGCGCGGCGGGCGGCGGCGCGCGGGGCCCGCCCGCCCCCACGGTGCGCGCGCGCGCCCCGGCCCCTTTGTTCCGCGCGCCCGCCCGGCCCCCGGCCCCGGCCCCGGCCCGGGGAGGAGCCTCTCCCGGGCCCCGTCCGTGCGGGGCGCGGCGCGGCGGGGCGGGGCGCCCGCTCCTGGGGGCTCCGGGCTCCGGGTCCGAGCGGCGCGGGGCTGCGGGGCACGGCCGGACCGGCCCGGGCTGGCGCGCGCGGCCGAGTGCGTGCGTGCGTGCGTGCGCCCCGGACGGCGGCCCCCAGTGGGCACTGCTGCTCCGGGGCTTCGCGCCCCCCATCCCGGGCAGGGCACCGGGTGGGCTGCGCGGAGCGGCCCTCTCCGAGAAGGGGCGCGCCGAGGTCCCGGGACTGTGGCCTCCAGGGTCTCCTGGGGCCCCGGGTCTCTGTTCTCCGCTCCCCGCTCTCCGCAGACTCTGCCTCTCGGGAGATCCGAGGGACCCTGGGTGGTCGTGCGTGGCTGCCACCTCTCACCTCTGCCCTAGGCAGGCGCCCAGGGAGGAGGAGGTGATGGCGCATCGGGAACGCTCCACGCAGGGCGCCAGTGCCTGCTTAGGGGCACTCCTGAGACCTGGCCGGGGCTGGTCCTGCTGCCCCCAGGACTCACCTGAGGCAGGGGCGGGGCTGGCTGGCTCCCTCCGCTCCCCTCTCCCCCCCACCCCCCAGTCTTCCTGCTGCCAGTGGGCCAGGGCCTTCAGGCCCCCCAACACGCCCCTCTCCACCCGTGTCCCTGCACCTCCTGAGTCTCCGTGCTCCCCTGAGCACTGTCCACAGGGAGCCCGTACTCTGTCCCCACCTCCACCCTTTTCAGGCCCGTGCAGGGTCCAAGGAGGCTCGGTGCGGGCCCCCCGGGTTTCCCTTCTCATTTGGGGGCGTCGCCAGGCCAGCCCAAGCCCACCCAGGGTGAGGGCCTTCTCTGACATTCAGCACCTGCAGAATTTGCCGGCTGTTAGCAGTTGGCTCCCCTTGCCCCGGGACCCCCAACTCACCTGCAGTGTCTCCCGCCCCCGGGACCCCGGCGCTGCTTCCTGTCCCTGGGACTTTGCCCCATTTGGATGCTGTTGTGAAGTTTCCTCTGGCCTCTTGCGTCCCTCATGTGCCCCTCGCGGGCTGCATCATTGTGTTGTTCCCCGACCCCCACCCCCCAACTCTGGTTGCTGTGGGATCCTGAGCAGAGCCCGGTCAGCAGTCCTGGGAGGTGTCATGTCTGTGTGCATGGGTGTGTGCACTGTGTGTGGCGTGCGTGTGTAGACATTTGGGATTGGATATGTGCATTGGGTATGTGCACATGTGTGTACGTGTGCGTATCCATATGCACATGTGTCCTCAGTCTGCGTGTGTATGTATGTACACAGGTGTGCACGGCGCCCAGGGCCGGGCCTGAGTGAGGTGCCCCTCCGGGTGCTCTGTGGGGGTCCTGTGCCCGATTTCAGGACTCTGCCGCTGTCCCTGTGTGGGTCCTGTCGGGGGCTGCCCCTCGTAGAGGTGCTGCGTCAGGCTCGCTCGGGCTGCCCAGCCTCTGCCCTGCCGCTGCCTCCTGGGGGCTCCTGGGGCTCTGCTTTAGGGTGCAGGCCCTTTGGTTCGGGTGAAATGCTCTCGTGTGAGTCCGGGGGCCCAGGACCGGCGGTTCTTCACAGGGACTCACGACAGCACCAGGAGAAGGGAGCCCGGCCCAGCCAGTGCTGCTCTGATACCGGCAAGGGGCCTGGGGTTTGGGGGGCCCAAGTGGACCCGCCCCATCAGCCTGTCTTCACTCCACTCTGCGCTGCTGAGCCCCCGTCTCTGGAGGAGGCCCCGTGTGGGTCCCTGGGTGGACACTGCTCCTCTCCTGCCCTCTGCTGTGGCTGCAGTGGTGGGCTCTGGGCCCTCTGGCGGCTGCCTCAGTGGGGGTGCTTCCTGCCCAGGCTGCCTCCACCCCGGGGTCCTCTCGAGTGGGCCGCCCACCCCTTTGGGGCTCAGTAGGTTCTGGATGTCCAGACCACATCTGTGCTGACCCTGGGCCCTGGGACAGGCGAGCTCACACACTTGCAGCATCGGCCACGGTGACCCCACCCCTGCCCGTGTCCAGCCAGGGATATGGGGCCTGTGGGGTTCCTGCCCTCACTGGCCTGGGCAGTCCGGACTGCTTTCAGCTCTGTCTGGGGGAGAGCCGGGAGCTCACCTTGGCGGGGCAGGGCAGGACGTGGAGAGGCAGGGCCCTGGCTGTGGGCCCTGGGCTGGAGGACCCTTGGCCAGCCCTGGGAGCACGCACAGAGCCCTCCCGCCCAGTTCTGACTCTCCAGGCTGCTGCAGAGCCTGGAGTGGGTGTCGAGCACCTCGGCCGAGAGTCCGGGAGCCTCTGTGGTCTGGCGCTGTCACTGCTGTTCCCTTCCCGGGACACCGTCCCGAGGCTCGCGCTCTCCCCCTGAGGTTGGGCTCTTGGGCGCTCCTGGGCTGCAACATTGTGCTGTCCCGTTCCCCTCCCGCCCCCTCCCCATCACATGGGGCAGCCTTGACCTCTCTGGCTGCCCTCCCCTCAGCAGCCCTGTCTCTCTAGTGCTCCTGAGCTCTGGGACGAGGCTGCCGGTGTGTCTGCTCCCGGAGCCTCCCCCACACGGTGCTCCCCTCGGCTGCCTCCCCTGCCATGGCTGCCCCCCAGGCTGTCCCCTGCGGCCGCCCTCTGTGCCTTCCTCGCCCGCCGTGGCCACCTTCCCCATGCCCTGTGCCTGCCCCACCTGGGCTGGGCGGGGCTGGACTGTTCCTGCTCTTGGATGTGGGGCCCAGCTGGCTTTCATCTTGGGATCCGGGGGTCTGCTCCGAGGGGTACAGATGACCTTGCCCCGGGCCAAGGGTGGCCAAGGGCCTGGTGTAAAGCCCTCCTGGGGTGCCCGAGTTCTTCGGCTCCCGCTCAGGAGACGCCCCGTGCATCACGTCTGTTCCGCCATCCCTGTCTCCGGCTGGGGTCTGCTTGGCCCATGAGGCGCGTGTCCTACTTGGGCGCTCCTTGGGACCATGAGTGGGGGTCCCTGTCCGCCTCTGCCCTGGCGCGGTGGACTGTGGGAGGCACCTGCGTGAACCAGCCCCCTGCGGGCCCACCTGAGTTGAGGGTGCCAGCGTGGCAGGGCGGGGCTCAGCTGCAGGGCTGGTTGCAGGCAGTGCTGGGGCTGGCCCGCCCTCCCCACAGAGGCCTTCCCAGCACACCCACGGGCATCAGGCCTGTGACCCAGCCTCCCTGGAGAGGCTAAAGTCGCTTCATTTGGGCCAGTGGGGCCGGGGTACCAGTCTCGGGAGCTGTGCCTGGTTCCAGTGGGGCCTCACCTCCACCTTCCCTCTCTGCTGCTCTTCCTGACCTCAGACTGGGAGCTGGTGGTGGTGGGAGTTCAGGGTGTGTGTGTACTGGGGCTGGCAGGTGTGTGTGTTGACCGGCAGGTGTGTGTGTGCCGGGACCGGCCGGTGTGTTGTAGTTGCTGGTGATGGTCGGCAACGGTGCTGCAGGAACCCTGGTGGTGGACAGTTTGGGGTCCCTGAGATGGGCGGTTGGGCCAGTGGGCCCTTGCCTGGGGCTTATTCCTTGCCTGCGTGACACCGGGTGCCTGTTCTTTCGGGGGGGCGTGGGGTTCTTCGACTCCGTCAGGCCAGCCAGGGCTGCCTCCCTTTCCCACATTATGTTCTCAGGGTGCAGGGGTGTCGTGAGGGGGGCAGGGTCTCTGACTGCAGGGGCGTATGAGTGGGATCGCTAGGTGCAGAGGTGTGGGCAAGAGGGCGGGGTCCCCAAGTGCAGGGAGGAGGGTAGGTGGGAGGTTGGGGGTCCTGGGTGTGCAGGGGTGTGGGAAGGAGAGTGTGGGCTCTGCGTGTGGGGTGTGGGAGGAGGGGGCTCTGAGTTCAGGGAGTAGGAAGGGAGAGCAGGGTCCCCAGGTGCAGGGAGAAGAGTGGGGTCCCTGGGTGCAGGGGTGTGGGGAGGAGGGCCGCGGTGGGTTTGTTCTTTCTCTGTGCTGGCCTGTTCGTCTCTGATGAGCACCTCCTGGGTGGGGCATCCTGCCCGCCCCCCCCCCCCATTGCTATAGCCCGTCTTCTCCGGGGACCTTCTCTGGCTGGCAGCCTTACCCTGTTGTCAGTCTGTGGCCGCAGGGGGTGGCCCCGACTCTTGGTGCCAGAGGGCAGCAGGAAACGGGGCATGTGGGGCTTTGATGTCAGGGAGAATTCTTTCAGGTGTGGGCCAGGGTGCAAGGAGGGTCCCCGGGACCAGCAGAGCTGTGCTGTCGGGTCCACCAGGCCTCCCCGCGCGGGGTGGGGCATGGACCTGCCTGACCCCCACACACAGGTGGGTCGAGGGGCACTCGGGCCCAGCCAAGGGGGGAAGTGGAGACCAGGCTGGCCCCTTGGGCTGCCCGGGCAGGGCACAGACGCTGTCTGCCAATGCCGTCCAGACTTCTGAGCCGCGGGTGCCTAGCCTGGCCCTCCTCCCCGTTCCTTGTGCTCTGAGTGGGCGCCGAGCCCTTCCCCAGCACGAGCCGTGGGTGCCTGACCCCTGTGTACTGGAAGGGGAAGAAAGTGACAGGGGCCGAGGGCCTGGATGCTGGACAGAGAGGGGCATCCCTGGGAGTGGTCTCAGGCAGGGGTGAGGACTGGAGGTGAGGGCTGGGGGGTCAGAGATGGGGTTCCGTATTGGGGGCCTTGGGGCTGGGGGGTTGGGTTTGGGGATCGGGGCAGTGAGGGGCGTCTGTTGGGCTCCGCATCCTCGTGTAATGGCCCCAGGCTGCCCGAAGCTCCTGGTTCAGGAGACGCCTGGGAACAGGCTGGCGGGGCCGGAGCAACAACACAGCGGGGAGGGCGTTTTCCC